TATCAACCTTAAATGCCGACAACATTTTAATGATTCGTATGAATAAATGTGTATTTTTTGGTTTAGGATATTTTGTTTTTACGGCATATCAACCTTTATTTAATGAATAGATGTATGAATAGAATTATTCTTTTGGTTTAGATTGGTTTGATTATTTTGTTTTACGGCATATCAACCTCAATGGGTTATTTAATGCCGACAACATTTTAGGATAGATTCGTATGAATAGAATATTCTTTGGTTTGGATTGGTTTGATTATTTTTACGGCATATCAACCTCAATGGGTTATTTAATGCCGACAACATTTTAGGTTTAGAATTGGTTTGGTTTATTGGTTTGATTTTTTGTTTTACGGCATATCAACCTCAATGGGTTATTTAATGCCGACAACATTTTTAGGATAGATTCGTATGAATAGAATGTGTATTCTTTGGTTTAGATTGGTTTGGTTTATTTTTGTTTTACGGCATATCAACCTCAATGGGTTATTTAATGCCGACAACATTTTAGGATAGATTCGTATGAATAGAATGTGTATTCTTTGGTTTAGATTGGTTTGGTTTATTTTGTTTTACGGCATATCAACCTTGGGTTATTTAATGCCGACAACATTTTTAGAATAGATTCGTATGAATAGAATGTATTCTTTGGGTTTAATGATTGGTTTGGATTATTTTGTTTTACGGCATATCAACCTCAATGGGTTATTTAATGCCGACAACATTTTAGATAGATTTATGAATAGAATGTATTGGTTTGGTTTATTTTTGTTTTATTAATGCCGACAACATTTTTAGGATAGATTCGTATGAATAGAATGTATTCTTTTTGGTTTAGATTGGTTTGGTTTATTTTGTTTTACGGCATATCAACCTCAATGGGTTATTTAATGCCAACAACATTTTTAGGATAGATTCGTATGAATAGAATATATATTTTTTGGTTTAGATTGGTTTGGTTTATTTTGTTTTACAACATATCAACCTCAATGGGTTATTTAATTCTGACAACATTTTTAGGATAGATTCGTATGAATAGAATATATATTCTTTGGTTTAGATTGGTTTGATTCATTTTGTTTTACAATATATCAACCTCAATGGGTTATTTAATACGGACAACATTTTTTATTGCTGGTAATATTTTGTTTTGTCAAAAATCTGTTTCTGGTAATATTTTTCTATCAAAATTGTATTGCTGGTAATAATTTTTTTCAAATAAGTATTGCTGGTAATAGTTAACTATTTTCCCAAAGCTGGGACCCTAACAGGTGCTACCACCCTGGGTCAGGGTTGACCTGGGAACAGCAGTAATTAAGAGGCGGTTCCACGCTCCTCAAAACCTCCTGATCAGAGGCCTTGGTATTAGATGTAGTTTAACGTCTTACCCAGAACGAATTATTATTATTATTATTATTATTATTATTATGCATTTACCTTTCTTCGTTATTTCACGCGAATGTTACAGTCGTCCAATAACTCATAAATAATGGCCTATTATATTTTGATCGCGTGAAAAGAAGGGGAAAACACTACTTGGTTTCAGTGAGAAAATGAATAAAAGAAAGAAGGGACGATGGAGAGGGAGAATCAGATTAAGCTTATAAGAACAGATACTACACTTCAAAAGGCAAAAAATTGATTGTATTATTTCGCTGTCAGGATGTGACTCAAGGTCATTTTAATATAGGTAGACCGAGCGTGTACACACGGGCCAGATCCAAAAATACAAAAGCAAAAAAACAAAAAATAAAGGGTTCAGTTCGAAATTCCAACCACCTGAAGAAGGCCGGAGCGTACAACGGCCGAAACGTTGTGATAAATATGGCGACAGAGATGAGGACAATAGTCCGAATAATGTAAATAATGTAAAAATAAGTTCAAATGAAATTTCAAAATAACAATCGCGGCTTGAATTTGTATTTTGTAGCGACATTGGCAAGACGTGAATATTAAAATAATTCTTTAAAAAATGTATTCGTTTGCAGCCTGGATTGTATATGCAAGACCTTTATCTTATGGTTTTAAGGAGCGAGGAAGCATCTCTTAATTGCTGTTGTTCCCAGGTCCAGCCTGATCTGGGGTGGTAGCACTTGTTAGGGTCCAAGCTATGGTGAAATACTGAAGCTCAAAACTAGAATGAAAGCATTATGAAAATATAAAAATATAAAAATAAATTTTTATATTCGGTGGGTGCATAATTATCAGGCGTTTTTGTAGGCAAGTTATTTGTTAATAAAAATTGCTGTTTTGTTTACTTTTTGTTAATAAAAATATTACTTTATTTTCAGGTTATAAAAATACGTGTCGATAATCATAGTCATTTAAAAATGTTATTGTTGAATTGTTGTTTCTTTTTTTCATAATGAATGTTTAAAAATGCAAAAATGCCAGCAATAAATTTTTCGAAAAATAATTTACAACAATACATTTTCATAGTAAAAACACCAAAAATTCAACATTAAAAAAAAAGTATCAAAATACATTATTCTATAGTAAAATTCCCAACAATATATTTTTATAAAAATTTACCAAGAATACATTTGTATCATCTACAAACTATATATCTAAAAAAAAATGCTACGTATACCCCGATAATGGATAACGGCTCGGATTGAGGAATCTGAGAGCCGAGTTCGAATTCCAGTCGAATCCATTACATTCACTTACGTACTAATACCCTTACGAAAGATATCAATCTTTTTATTCTCCTTAATCTGCCTCGTCAATCATGTATCAAAAAATACATGATCGCCTAAGCGTCTATCACGTATGGTACGTAACTGACTGACTGATAACCTGAAAGTATAAAATTATGTACAGACTATCTGTAGTGGAAGGCATAAAACTGGGGTCAAAACATGAAAATATAAAAATGCAACAGAAAAAATTACTAGAAATATATTTTAGGGGGGGGCAGCAAACACCAAGTCTTGCAAGAAAATTCAATTTCGGCATTAATTGGTATGCCGTTAAACAAACCAAATCACTAAAAAATGTCTTCAGAAAGCGGAAACATTTCGGAAGCTCGTCCCATGCGTAAATAGCAGAACAGACCGGGTTCTATAGCCTTGGATGGCAACTGGTCTACCGTAGAAAGAAATGGCAATTTACCGCGGGAAAAAGCTGGGGTGGGGGGAGCATTCATACCTTTCCCAAGGGTATTAGTACGTAAGTGAATACAATGGATTCGACTGGAATTCGACTCTCCGATTCCTCAATTCTAGCCGCTATCCATTACTCCACCATTTCTCCTCATGGGATTCCTGACACATGAATCACCATAGTGATAAAAAGCCTTGTGGGCACAAATTGTCTGACCCCCAATTATACCCTTAATAAACAGTAAAACCCTTAAGTTATATGGTCACATCAAACGAAGCAAGAAAGGATTATAAGAAAAATATGCATTGAATAGATGGTTGCCGGAAAATGAAACATACGGTTCTTAGCAAAGAAGATGGCATGACAAGGTAATCAAATCGTCACAACGCTAGCTTCAATCCTTAAACCGAGCTGGTCAGGGCCGTGAACTTTGGGGTTGGTTGAGTCATGTGAGTGCACACTCTGCTATAGGCGGAAAGAGTGTTCGTTGATGAACAAGGACATTTTTCCAGCACTCGGTCCAATCAACCCTCCATTCATTACATTAATAATAGGCATAATGTGCAAATAATGATATGATTAATGTATTCGCTCGTATTTATGAACATTACACCATAAAATACTCACAATAAAATGTATCATATTCACCAGTAAGAACGATTGGTATGTAGAAGATTTTTTCACTATTTGTTTTCTCGGTCCCAATAATGTCTTTGCAAAACGATCGACGCCTAAGCGTTAGTTATTGGAGAGTGGTTGGTTCAAATTTTCACTCACCTGCTCACTGTTAATTTTGCCTTTCCAGCAAGGATTGAAATACGCCAATTGTACGCTACGCAGCCGACGTATGATGGCCACCAAAAGCGGGCAACTTGCAAATACGGGTATAAACCGGGCCAATGTTTAACTTTTTGACCCTCGTGTAAACCAGACCTATGTCTACCATTTTTCTTTTTACTCTCCTCCAAAATATAACTAAGTGTACCATTTTGAATCGAAAGCAAACCAGATCGATATCTACGTTTTGTGTATTTTTTATAAACCAAAATTGCGTCATATGTCTGCCTATTTGACTCCCGCGAAAACCAGACCGATGTCCACCTTTTTCATTCAAGTATAAACAAATCCGATGTCTACTTTTTTTTTACTCTGGTGTAAACTAGCTCTATGTCTACCTTTTTTGATTTTTTTTATTCAAGTGTAAACAAGTCTGATGTTAAACTTTTTCATTCAAATGTAAACCAGCCCTATGTGTACTATTCTGATTCAAGTATAAACCAGACCCTTTTTGACACACGTATAAACCAGACCTGTGTCTATCTTTTTCATTCAAGTAAACAATTCCTATCTTTGCCTCTTTGACTCTCGTTTAAACTAGACCTATCTCTACGATTTGAATCTCATTAAAACAAACATATGTCTACCTTTTACATTAAAGTTTAAACAAGTCCTACGTCTACCTTTTTCCTTCATGTGTAAAACAAACCTGTCTTCCTTTTTAACGCTAGTATAAACCAGCTCTATGTCTACCTTTTTCATTCAAGTACAAACTAGATCTATGTCTACTTTCTTGCCAACCAGTGTTTCAGGGAAAGGTATCCAGTAACTGTTGACTAAGCTTAGTTCGAACAGAAACGTATGGGATACCCAGTCAGGTTCGAACAGTGCAGTCGTGTCCACAAAATTATTTTGCAATTACTGCTCCACGACACGGCACCCATTTCAGAGTTCGTTATGCTTATAAATGTCATTAAATTTATATACTCCACCACGAAGGCAAAACAAGACACATTGATTTGCTAAAGGGGAATACGAACATACCCACCCTATATGGACACACGACGCAAGGTCGCCCACGATAAAATTCCTACATCTAACCCTCAAATTTGTCTCAGATTCAAAAAGAAAGACAGGATCTATATTTTGAGCTATCTTTAACTTCTCTCTTTTCGCCACTTCTTTCTTTCTTTCTTTCTTTCTTTTTTCTCTCACACACACACATATATATATATATATATATATATATATATATATCACTCTACTCGTACCTATCTATCTCACTCTGCTCCTATCTATCTATCTATCTATCTATCTATCTATCTATCTATCTATCTATCTATCTATTCCCCTGTGACTTGGCCGGATTCCCTAAAATGAAATTGAAGCTGAAGTAGAATCGCTTGGAGACCAGAAAGGAAACTGAAACGAATTAGCAGGTGGTACTGGTCGGACTTCAGGAAGTGAACTTCCGCAGTGTTTTTGAGGCGTGCAATAGACTCTGGGATCGCTCAGTCCGTTCCAAAGGGGATTATTTCGAAGAGATTGCAGGACCTATTAAAATATTATATAAAATATATTATTTACTACAGTAATAGTGTATTGTATTAGGCCCTGATATCTATTCAATAGAGTTCTCAAATAAAGACAGATTCTATATGTTCAGCAAGTTTTCACTTCATTCCTGTCAGTAAATATCTATCTATCTATCTATCTATCTATCTATCTATCTATCTATCTATCTATCTAACGCAGCCTTTTCATATCTATCTATCTATCTATCTATCTATCTATCTATCTATCTATCTATCTATCTATCTATCTATCTATCTATCTATCAAACGCAGCCTTTTCATATCTCTCTCTCTATCTATCTATCTATCTAACGCAGCCTTTTCATATCTATCTATTTATCTATCTCAAATTGTTTATATCTATCTATCTATCTATCTATCTATCTATCTATCTATCTATCTATCTATCTAACGCAGCCTTTTCATATCTATCTATCTATCTATTTAACGCAGCCTTTCTATCTATCTATCTATCTATCTATCTATCTATCTATCTATCTATCTATCTATCTATCTAACAAACGCAGCCTTTTCATCTCTCTCTCTCTCTCTCTCTCTCTCTCTCTCTATCTATCTATCTATCTAACGCAGCCTTTTCATATCTATCTATCTATCTCAAATTGTTCATATCTATCTATCTATCTATCTCAAATTGTTCATATCTATCTATCTATCTATCTATCTATCTATCTATCTATCTATCTATCTATCTAACGCAGCCTTTTCTATCTATCTATCTATCTATCTATCTATCTATCTATCTATCTATCTATCTATCTAACGCAGCCTTTTCATATCTATCTATCTATCTATCTATCTATCTATGTGTCAATTCCTCTCTATCTCAGTCTATCCATCTCTATGTATCTTTCGAAAGAGACATTTGACATTTCTGGGAGGGTATTGTAGCAAGACGGCCTAGAGAATTTAACACACACCGAACATATCGAAATCAATCTAAGCAAGAGGAATCATTAAATAGCCTACTTAATGACTTTGTGTGAATGGATAGCTGAAAACGTAGACACAATAGCAAAGAGTCATAAGTTACTAAAAGCCACAAATGTGAGGATGTTTTGCAGCGCCATGTTCGCCCACTTGTTTCAAGGGACAAGGCACATAAAAAGAAGAAAGATACGAGGAGCGGATCTATTTGCACCCTTCATCATTCCGCACTGGTGGGAGGAGGGCTGACATGAAGTCAGTCATAACAGCCGTTAAGTTTCGGTTATGGAAAATAAGCAAAAACCAACTTGTGGAATCGTCTCATTTTACAAGCAGCTTTCATTTATTTATTTAATAATCGACTTATTTCCTTAAGCCTTGCTTGTAACCAAGGGAAATACACGGAGCGAAAGAAATATTTGCAATCCCCGACAAATGCTACTAAAAGAAAAAGGTAATTTAAAACTGAATTACAATCTCCCATGTTATAATTTAATCTTTATTCAATAACATTTATAGTCAATTCCTTATACGTATAACTACATAGATACATACACACATACACGCGCTCCCCACATCTATCTATCTATCTATCTATCTATCTATCTATCTATCTATCTATCTATCCCAGTCTTTGCTTCTATCTATCTATCTATCTATCTATCTATCTATCTATCTATCTATCTATCTCAGTCTTTGCTTCTTTCTTTCTATCTATCTATCTATCTATCTATCTATCTATCTATCTATCTATCTATCTATCTATCTCAGTCTTTGCTTCTATCTATCTATCTATCTATCTATCTATCTATCTATCTATCTATCTATTTATCTATCTATCTATGTTAGTTCTCCTCTATCTCAGTCTATCCATTTCTATGTATCTTTCTAAAGAGACATTTAACATTTCTGGGAGAACAATATTGCAAGACGGACTAAAGTATTTAATACTGACACACATACACACATGCACACATACACGCGCCCCTAATATATATATATATATATATATATATATATATATATATATATATATATATAGGGTTCAAATTGTCTGAAGATTGCGTGAGTGTGAAACTCGTGTTACGGCTAGAGCCATCCTTTTTAAAGTTGGTAAGCGTTTTTTTTGCTCGGTCTAGGCAATCTGGGTTTCCAAATATTGTGCTCTATGGTAAAAATCTGTTTATTATAAATTTAAATCTTAATCAACAAATATACGGTTAAATTAAATTTAGATCTCAATCAATATATATATATATATTTATATATATATATATATATATATATATATGATAAAAATGACAAATAGGAAACGTATCTCAATCTAAAGTTTCACTTTTATTAAAGATTCTTCGGATCATTTTCATCGTTTACGAATTTACAAAGAAATAATTATGATTTTTTTTATTAACAATTTTATAAACATTTACTAAATTATAAAAATATGTGAACCAACTCTGAGGAAATCCTTATTTTTTACCATTTTATAAAGTTGAAATCAGTTGTCTATTAGTCGATATTTTGCCAATCATTCCGATAAACAATATAATACATAGTGTAAATTCTCAAAACAATGAAAATGTAAAAAATCGCTTTTATATGTTTATGCCTTATTACAATTCTAATCATCGCTTTTTTTAAACAATAAACATTGCCGTAGGAGTGAAGGAAGTTAAAATAAAAGCTCTGAAAAAAATTGACCTTTTGATACTCCGTTTTTTTTTTTTTTTTTTTTTTTTTTTTTTTTTTTTTTTTTTCGGACACAATGGTTCATTATTTGTCTATATTTCTGAGATGAAATATTGTAATTATTTACATTATTTACATTGTTCGGACTGTTGTCCTCATCTTTATTGCCATATTCACAACGTTTCGGCCGTTGTACGCTCCAGCCTTCTTCAGGTGATCGTAATTTCAAACTGAACCCTTTATTTCGTCCACCAGATAGATTGTTCTAGTTCCGCATGGCATGCTTCTTTTGGATATCTCAGTTATTTCCCTTTAACTCAACTCTCCATGTTTTTTTGTTCACCACAGCAGTAACCTGGTATTGAACTCAAGTCTTTGGATCCAACCAACGTTTTTATCCATTGGGCCATGTGTTCTTGAGGACACCCGGAAGAGGCATAGTTTCGTGGAACTAGAAGAATATACCCCGGTGGATGAAATAAAGGGTTCAGTTCGAAATTCCAATCACCTGAAGAAGGCCGGAGCGTACAACGGTCGAAACGTCGTGAATATGGCAATATAGATGAGGACAACAGTGCGAACGATGTAAATAGTGTAAATAAAAAACAGAATATAACAAGTTTATGAGTTAACCAACTGGGGTTATGGTATTCATAAATATAAGAATTGGGTTCCTAGTCGTAGAGAAAAAGATGACAGGTTGTTTCAAAAATACTATCATGACATAGATGAAGATGTTATAAAACAAATTTGGAAGTGGCCATACGATATCGCTTCCGGGTTAGCATTAAAAGATTTTAGCATTATCTTGGCTGACTGGATCCACATTAATGAATTATAAACCCAATGTATTTCCTGAATATCTTTAATGTCTCAGAAGTCCTTTGTTAAGTGATTTACTGATTTATACATTAGGTCAGTGATTCCCAGACATTATTTTCTCTGGGCTGCATTTTCGGAAGGAAAATTTGCTCACGTCTCACCAAATTTTATGTGTAAAAGTATATTTACAAAAAAACAAAAAACAAAACAAAAAGAAAACAAAAAAAAAACAATAAAAAAACAGAGGACGATGCGTACAACGGCTGAAACGTCGGGAATATGACAATAAAATGAGGACAACAGTTCGAATATTGTATATAATGTAAATAAGGAAAGTTCATAGTCTGTCTATATTTCTGAGATGAGGTATTATGTACAGTATTTACATTAGCCGGACTATTGTCCTCATCTTTTTCGCCATATTTGTCACAACGTTTCGGGTTTGCCTCCGGCCTTCTTCAGGTGGTTGGAATTTCGAACTGAACCCTTTATTTCGATCACTCAAGGACACATGGCACAGTGGATAAAGGCGTTGGTTAGATCCAGTGACAGACCCAAAGAAGGTGAGTTCAATTCCTGGTTAAGGCAGTGGAGAACTTTCAGAGGGAAAATTAGCAGGAGATAACTGATAACTGACATCCATCAAACATGGCACGTGGAACTAGAACAGTCTACCCCAGTGATCGAAATAAAGGGTTCAGTTCGAAATTCCAACCACCTGAAGAAGGCCGGAGCGTACAACGGCCGAAACGTTGTGACAAATATGGCGACAAAGATGAGGACAATAGTCCGACTAATGTAAATACTGTAAGGAAAGTTCATGTTTGTCAAAAAAAGAAATATTAAAAACAAAAAAAACTACAGCTCACTCGGTGTCAATCTCTGTAGCATATATGAGTTAGCGTCAAAGATGACGTAACCCAGCAAATACCCCCAGGGAATCGCAAAATCCCAAATCCCTGAAACCGGATCTGTCCTATGACAGACATTTTATTGGCCGTTGATTAAAAACAGAGAAATTATATCACATGCTCATAGGTGAAATCTCAGTAATCCACTAAGAAAAAATTGCATGTTTTTCATTTCTTTGTGCGTGTGTCTTGTGATATATACAAAGATAAGACGACAGTAAATAGGCATTACTATTTTCTGTCAAGAGAATTTAGGTAACAATATGTTGTGGATTCCGGGATGAAATCTGGTCTCAAATGAATGACAAACGCAGGAATGAAATATAGCAAATAAATGTATTGACGTAATAATACAATTGATAATACGGTTAGTAGATCCAGAAATGCGGTTAGTAGCAATAATAATATATATATACAGTCTGGGAAATTCAGTATCGAAGTATGACTTCCTTCTGAGTCTACGTGCTCGCAACTGTGACTCCTACAAAGCGGTTACCTCACTCTCTTACTGCATCAGTGTACCTCTCTATCAGTGTATCTCCCCCGGGTATTCACCGGCAGCAGTACAAGTACACACTGGTCGAGTCCACTTGTATGAAAAAGGGGTGGACTCCATAACACAATATAAACAATTCAAGTCGATTTAAATACGTTAAGTTTAGTAAATTTGCTATTGTCAAATTTTAGCATTTTTAATTTATATTTGAATTTCTGGGATGAGGAGTTATAATTACTTATATTACTTTTTAAATTATTAATATATATATATATATATATATATATATATATATATATATATATATATATATATTAATAATATATAAATTATAAATATATATATATATATATATATATATATATATATATATATATATATATATATATAAGATAATTTAATCGTCTGAGAGAAAACCATTTTCTCTTCCATCAACATGGCTGATGCAAACCTTCAGGAGAGTTTCTGGTTGTGCCTTCTTGTGCTAACACTCTCGGCAGACATGGAATGGAAAGATTATATTAAATTAATTACTAGGCCTGCTGCTAGGAAATATGGTTCCCTGTGTCGTGCTAGACATTCTTTCTCTCCAGAATCTATCTTACATTTTTATGTCTACCATTCACCCATACTTTGAAGATTGCTGCCGCATATG